TACTACTCTCTCTCTCTCTCTCTCTCTCTCTCTCTCTCTCTCTCTCTCTCTCTCTCTCTCTCTCTCTCTCTCTCTCGCTCTCGCCCTCTTGTCTACAGAGAGTACACCACTTTAGAGAGAGATTATAAATTGCACGACGTGCGTATACGCGCCGGATCGACACGCGTGTATGCGTGCGTATTGCACGCGCGTGCGAAATGAGAGCGCGCGATCGTATGTATAATTGAAGTAAACACATTATCGCTAAAGCTTTTAATCTAGCATGCAACTTGTTAGCTCAAGTCGACCGAGGCTCCGATAAATACCCGCCGCGGTAAATTTTAATGACCGCGTTAAAATATTATGGGCTTTTATGCATTAGGACGACAAACACAGGCCGTTCCATCCCACTCAGGAACGACGACGGCGGCGGCGGCGGCGGCGGCGGCGGCGCGAGCGCGTAGTTTGCCGACATTACATTACAAATTGTGCGTGCGGACCCGAGCCATCCGGACGGTCAATGTTTGTCGATCCGAAATCCAATATTCCGTTTCACGGCTCGAGAAAGTAATTTGTCATCGGCAAGCGGCTCAAGCTCCGCCGCTGCACGGCTGCGGCCGCCGTGGACGCCGTCGCGCTCTCGAAACGGTAGCCGGTTTCTCTCGTTTTCGAAAAGCGTCCGCGCGGACGGGATGACGATGACTCGTAATTGTCAACATACGCCCTTTTCCATACGCTCTTCTCTTCTTTTAATTCTGCTATTATTCCATTAAAACCATCGACGCTCCGCGCGTGACCGAAAGGGATATTCACGATTATAATTTTATCAATTAAATCCATCTGAGTGTATTTCTTTCTAGTTTTCCCAATTTTCCAATTCAAAATAATTAACTGGTGAATATTGATAAATCATAAATACGTTAAAGTGTTGCGTGTTGCGTGATTCTATTTCGTCGAAGAAATAATATCCAAGAGAGAAAGAAAAATTTTTACGCGCACGCGCGCGCGAATGAAAGATTCGATATGGTAGAATATAAAATTTGGCTGACCTCGATCCTTTCTTCCTTGAGGTCCACTTGAAGGGCCAGCTGTTCCCGCAGGAGCACGTCGGGGTAATGCGTCTTGTCGAAGGTGGCCTCCAACTGTTCCAGTTGTTCCTCCGTGAAGATCGTCCGATGGCGACGTTTCCTCTTCGCCATCGGGCCCATTCCCGGATTGTTGGGATTTATTTGATAGGGATGACCGGTGTGATAAAAGGCTGGCTGTCCGTGAAGGGAAACGCCGGCGGCGGCCATCGCTGCCACATATCCTCCGGGATATAATCCTGGATATGCCGCGGCTGAAATCCGGAAATAACGGAAAGACTGATAAAGCTCCATCTCTTCAAGCTCTCTTAAAACTCCCCCACGAATCCGAATACCAAGGGCGTGTCCTAGTCTGTCTCGTGTAATCGCTCGTGTAATCGCGCGTGCATCACGCAAATGACAATAAAGATTATCCGATGTTGGCGGCCGCAACGCCATTTGAACTTTGCGCCGCATTAAAGATTCAAATGTTCCATTCGCGCTCGCGATTATAACATTTAGGGGAGCGCCCTGGGATCGATTGTGCGACGAGCGATAATTGTAACAATTCGGGTAATTCGGGCACTAAATAGACTCGCGACTGACAAAAGGATTACATTCGATCGTTTTGCGACCGCGAGGTTCCAAAATCCCGAAATCCCGCGATCGACGCGGAAACCGACGACGCGTTTTCTCCGAGAATTAAAATGCAGACGGAGGCCGGAGAACGTTGGTGGTGGTCGGAAACGCGATACTATAAAACTTACAGGCCCCATTCACGCTGCTTGGGATAAAGAGGTCGCCCGGCACCCCCGTCCCGGGGGACGTTTTACTTTAAAAATCTCGAAGAAAGCTGCTTAAACGCGACGTTGCGTATGAAAATGCGGGGACGGTAAAATTTCTGCTTTTACCACGGGCAACCACGGGCTTCTCCCTTCCTCCTGCGCTCTCTCTCTCTCTC